AAGATTTTTTTCATGTATTTATTGGCCATTTGTACTTCAGCTGTCCATTTTTCACTGGGCCCTCTATATTTTTGGCGGGGAGCCTTCTTTTTTTTTTTTAGTTCTTTATATATGAATCTTCTGTCTGAGGATGTTTCGGCTTGTATCTAGGTGCCCCCTCAAAGTCTCATGCTTTCATAGGTGGGGTTTTTCAGAGGTGGGTAGATCTAGGGTCTGTGAATCTGGATTAAGGGTGTATGATAATGAAATTAGTCCACTGATGGGGTTAGTATAGTTGTGGGTGGGGAAATCAGAAAGCCCCCCTGGGTAGGGGTGGCACCATCCAATAGGCTTGTAGCCTAGACAGAACAATAAAAGTAAAAGGGAGACTTGCTGCTTTGCTGCCCCCTGCTTGCCCTGTAATGGGACTATTTCTCCTTTGCCATTCCCTCTGTCTACCTGGGAGCCAGTCAACTATTGACTGAAACCTCCACAAACTGTGAGCTAAAATAAACCTTTCCTCCCTTAACTTGTGGGTGTCAGGTATTTTGTCCCAGCAATGAGGAGTAACTAAGAGGAGTAGCTAGCAAGAATTTTTTGCTCATTCTGTGGTTGTCTCTTCACTCCAATGTTTGTTTCCTTTGCTGTGCAGAATCTTTTTATTTAATATAACCCCATTTTTTGATTTCTGATGTTATTTCTTGTGCAACTGGGGTTCTGTTCAGACAGTTCCTTGCCTAAGCTTGTATCTTCAAGAGTTTTACCCATTTTATCTTCCAGCAGATTGTTTCTATCTTAATATTTTGATCTTTAGCTGGGAGTGGTAATGCACATCTGTAATCCCATCACTTAGGAGGCTCTGGCAGGAGGATCATTCCAAGTTCAAGGCCAGCATGGGCTACACAGTAAATTCAACACTAGCCTGAACTACATAGCAAGACCCTGCCTTAAAAAAAAAAAAAAAATTGGATCTTTAAACTATTTGATTTCAGTTTAGTACATAGTGGATGTTACACTGATGTAACATCAATGATGCAGTAAGGGTCTAGATTCAGTCTTCTGCATGTGTGTAGCCAGTTTTCCAGCATCATTTCTTCAGGAGCCTATATTTCCTCCAGTGTGTATTTGTGGTCCCTTTACCATGCTGCATTAATCACTGTTGCTTCATAATATAACTTGAAATCTGAAATTTTGATCCATCCTGCTTTATTATTGTTGTGCAGGACTGCTTTTGCTATTCTGGATCTCTTCTGGTTCCATATGAATTTTAGGATTGCTTTCTCTAGTTCTGTGAAGAATGCTGTAGATCATCTTGATTGGGCTTACATTAAATCTCTGTATCAGTTTTGGAAGTATGCCCATTTTGGCAATGTTGGTTCTACTTATCCAAGAATAGGATATATTTCAATTTTCTGGTATCCTCTTTGATCTTCTTTTTCAGGGTATTATAGTTTTCATTATAGAAACCTTTTACTTCCTTTTTAAGGTTAATACCTAGTATTTAATTTTTCATGGTTCTTGAATGGTATTACTGTCCTAAATTCTTTCTTGATGAATGCATTATTGATGTACAGAACACTATTCATTTTTGTGTGCTGATTAGTATCCTGCTATCTTGCTGAATTTGTTATAGTTCTAATCTTTTGAGTCTTCTATGTGAATACTTCTTATATCTCCCAAATTATATCTCAATCCTAGAATAAGCCTTGAAAATTCATGATGCTCTATTTCTGTTAATTAAGTTTTAATTACATTTTCCACCTATCAGAAATGTCCTTCCACTACCAATCTGGGTGACTTTTTTCTTACTTCAAACAATACATACTTCTCTAATCTCCCAACAGGAATAATTGCTTTCCTCTCCATGCTGCAACATAATATGCACAAACTTTTATTATATAATATAAATAAAAACTAAATATGTCTCCTTTGTTTTAGTATATAATGTAAATAATAATTAAAAAATAAGTATCTGTCTTCCTTGCTACATTAAAAGTTTAAAGTCATCAAGTATGCCTTTTTCATTGTCATCATCTCCTCCCCAGCACCTATCAGAACTGGCTGGACGCCGCCTACCTTGCAAGCACAAGGATCTGAGGTCGATCCCCAGTACCACCCCCCCAAAATATATATAAAGGAAATTATAGAAGGTTCACTCTACATATTGTTTCCACTTGCCAGATAACTTTCATGCTAGCAATATTCCATGTTCTTCTCTTGTGATCTTGCAAAATGATGTCAAGTCCTACTATTTTCTCATTTCTTACCATAGTTTTTCTAATTTCATCCTTTCCACATGAGTCTGCATCTGTTTATTTCTATGCCATTTCTCGTGCTTCCTTCAATTTTCGTCTATTCCAAAATGATCACTGTTCTCAGTTTTTAAAAAAAAATTAAAAGAAGTATAGTTTTTCTCTCATGCAGTAATTTTTCATTCATAATCATCCAATTTACATATCTATACTACTCTTTGAAATTACAGTTAATTTTGGTAAATGTTCTTTATAACGATGTAAAATGCCAGAAATTCAACTTCCATTCTATCTGAATCTGTCCCCAATGAGTTTAATTAAATAACATTCATTATCTGATGTGCCAGACACTGTGCTAGGTGCTATGAATATACACACAAAAAATAAGGAGTGTGGTTTATAGAAAGGAGAAAGGCTACTCGATATTTATAGGGCAGTGTGATAAGTGCTATAGCCACATATGAATATGTAAGCAGGACTAGAGTGTTCCCTTATGAGATCCAATGTTAATACAGCTAGTGAGAGTATGTTTACTGACTTCCGAAGTCCATGAATTCCCTGAATCCCCAGTAGTCATATATGCTAAATACTGCTGCACTGCCTTAATTTACACAACAATATTTACAGAATTCTGCTGGGTCTGATTTTCAAAGGTCCAGGCTATTTCCAAACATCTCTTTTCTCTCAAAAATAATTTCTATCCTCTAGGAGTAGGGAGGCTGAAGAGCCACAGAACACTCCCCAGGTTCCCTCCTTAGTACATCTCCATGTTTAGTTCCCTGTTGGGAGGTATTTGTAGCTACCACAAACATCCTGTTAAAGTTCATTAAAAGAGTGACTTTCTACCACCATACTAGTGTTTAACTAACTCAAAATTCCTTCAGTGGACAAACTAGCTTTTTATCAGTTAATAAATCAGTATTAAACTTCAGGGGTAGAAGCCTTTAGAGGCAACATATGCACCAGATCAGTCCTCTGAAACCCTCTTGGAGAAAATGTCAAGAACAGAGAGTCCTGGGAGGCCTCCCAGCAAGAGTTTCTGTACTATCACTCTTTCTAGCTGGTAACCTTGGCCCATATTTTCAAAGTTCTTACCAACATGCTCACCATTCTCATCCCAAACTTACCCATATCCCATATCAGCAGAACCCAGCAGGAGATAACAGGGGCCAGCACTTCTGCTGTCCTGTCTTGTGGAAGTTCTGCCTGTCCAGAGCTTCCTTCTGCACCACCAGGACTTTGGAGCACTACCAGCAGGCTGACTGCCTGGACCCCATCTTTTTTTCTTTTTAAACGGTAACAAGGTTTTACATTTATTAAAAGGTAGGAAAAGAAACAGGCTGCACAGAGTGCTTTGGGGCCAAGTAAAAGTAGAAAATAAGTACACTCTACAGGGCAAGAGCAGGCTACTGAAAGAACACAGCAGCCTGGACGCTACCTTTGTCCTACAACAAAAAAAACAAAAAACACAAAAACCAAGCTGGGGCTTCACACACTGGGCAACCCTAGCTAGACAGAGTTCTTTCCCACTTTTCTCAAGTCTGTCCTCATCACTCCACTCAAAGTAATGGGCAACTAAGCTCTCCAGCCTCAGCATTTTCCCCAGCTTCCTCCCTATACCTCAGTTCATTGCCTATGACAATTACAATCTAACTAATGCTGGTGAGAATTAGTGAACCAAGCAACATTCATTTTATAACTCTGAATACCCACACTGCTCTGAAAAGCATGAAGAGTCTCTAACTCCTTGACACAATATGCAGCATTTTCAGCTCCATAAGACTAATTTGGAGAAACAATTCAGACTTGAATTATAGTACATCGACACAAAGTAGTCGTTAAAAGCAGACTATACAGTATAACTATATGGAAAACTTTACCTTAGGAAAAAAGAAAAACACTAAGAAAGAAATACCCTACAACTACAGAGGCTATTGCATCACCATGATGGGGCCCCTGAAACAGTGATCCACCCAAGTAGGACATATACTTGATGAGTTCTTATACGATTTGATTTTTGCAGTAACAGAAAATAGCATCATGCTATAATATCTCTCTCCATCTCCAGCCTCACAGGACACAATAAAACCTTTGTCAAGTAATTAAACATATGTCCAAAAAATATTTTGTGCCAGAAATTCTCAAGTCTTGCTCCCCAAGTCATTAATTATTTATTTACGGGTTTTATATAGGGAGTTTCTTACAGTTATCATTAAATCCTCATAATGACGCTGTGAGGAGGTACCAGGTCCTTAATAGTGGATATGAAGAAACAGCTATCGAAGATCTCTCGGGTCTAAGGGTCAGAGCCTAATGACAGTTCCTCAAAACCTAATCTAAGTGCCTTTCTTTGTTAACACCATCCCTAGAAACCAAATTTCTATTTCGTCAAATGTGCACAATCACACTGTTGCTCAATATTCGAGGCCTTTCCTGGGTCCTGTCCCAGATCCTAAAAACAACAATCACCCTGCTTTTCGAGGGTGAACAGCACGTTATCAGAGTGCTTTCAGGAAATCATAAAATATCCAAAGCTTTACCATCACAATGACTAAAAGAGGAGGGGGCTGGCTGTCCCCCTGCCCCCGAGGCGCAAGAAGGTTCTCATTTCCCATTCTGGCCAGTGGGCCGAGAGGGCTTTCACAGAGCCACGCGGGAAACGTGAGGCTCCTAAAGGTCGGGGTGGCGGCCGACCCGGGACGCGGAGGACCTCGCGGCCCGAAGCGCCACACCACTCGCTTCCCGCGGGGTCCTCCCCACAGCCCGTACCTTGAGAGTCTCGTAGGCGGTCGCCACCAGCAGGAAAGCCTCCTCGGCGCTCCGC